CCGGGTGGTTCCGAGCAGGGGGTCCGCTCGTCCCTTCGGCTTCGGACGCGCACTGGGCGCGGGGCCCGGCTACAGGTAGAAAATAGGTGTCAGGGTGGAGGCCTGCGACCGGCAGGGGTGGGGAGGGAATGGGGGCACGTGACACGGAGATGGTGTTTGAGACCATAAACGGGTTCTTTTGCCTATTCTGCCGTCGTTCCCCATTCCTAAAGACCAGACCCTGAGCTCATATTGTTCGTATTGTGGCCAAAAATATCATTAAGACGCATTTTAAGGTTTAGTGCTAAAATGGCCAAAATGGTCAAAAACAATTGCCAGCTGCTGTGAGTTTTTAGGAGCAACCAGAGAGGGGCGTGTGTGAACAGAGAGAGAGAGAGAGAAAGAGAAGAAACGCTGACTCCTCTAGGGTTTGTGTGTGTCTAGGTTACTCAGAACCGAGCTTTGCCCCGTGAGCCAGACAAAAGGAAGTGGACCATCTCAGCTCATGCAAAGTTCTTCTGTTGAAAGTGTCTCTCCCTTTTTTGTGCTAATCCACATTTTTTTTCCCACTTAGGGTTCCCAAGGTTGAAGCCATTGGAGAGGGGTGTGGCTGTTAAAAGCCCTCCCATTCTGAATCCCTACACAGCTTTTAACAACCGCATGGGCCACATTGTCTTGTATGACTCAGCAGCTCAAACTGTCCTCGGACTGCATCAGTTCGCCTTGCCAGACTGAAAGGTCCTTGACACCAAAGACCAACTTTCTGGCTTCCTTTATACCCTTTGCAATAGCTTTATTTCATAGATTGGGCAAATGGGGAGAGAAGATAAAATGGCGTGGCTGAGAACGCACAGATGATCCACCGGAACCAACATGGCAATAATGAGTGACATTCATTTCCAGCTCGCCGGGGCTGGAGCTGGGAAGCAAGGGAGACCTCACCTCCCATGCAGAATTTAAGGAGTGCCGAAAAAACTCAGTAATCAAGATGAGTAATATTTTAATGCAGTATTTAAAAATTAATGCGGCCCTAGCCGGTTTGGCTCAGTGGATAGAGCGCTGGCCTGCAGACTGAAGGGTCCCAGGTTTGATTCTGGTCAAGGGCACATGCCTGGGTTGCGGGCTTGATCCCCAGTGGGGGGTGTGCAGGAGGCAGCCAATCAATGATTCTCTCTCTCATCATTGATGTTTTTTTTTCTCTCTCTCCCTCTGCCTTCCTCTCTAAAATCAATAAAAAATATTTTAAAAATTAATGCAAAAAATCCATGATGAACAAAATGTCAAGATTGTAAATAAGATACTGTGTTAGTCTTATGACCCTGTTGTTGTTATTGTGCAATGGAACAGTGGTTACCAATCAGCCCAGGGTTCCCAGGCCTGTGTAGCCCTCAGGCCCCCACCAGGTGATGTGCACAGGTGACTGTGGCAACACTGGCTTTCGATGGAGTTGTGATTTTTAGTCATAGAGCTTTAATTAGCTTTTTACCCTCGGTTCAAAATAAGTGAGTATTTGCTAAGTGAACATAGGGGTAACATTTTCCTTATCTTTGTTTCCATATGACTCTTCACAGCATTTCAATTTATAAAGAACTTTAGTACATATCATTTCATTTAATTCTCAAATAAACAAAAAAATCCTGATTTTTTTGGTGGTGGTGTTACCCTCATTTTAGAAAAAAAGAAACCAGGCCTCCGATTAAGTTCCTAACCCAGCAGTATCAAGCCGGCCAGTGACGGAGCTGGGATTCTGACCACCCGTGACCCAGATCCCACCGTGAGCTGCCTCGCCAGGTTGCTTCCTACTCTACCCAACCCTCTGCTTCCGCCTTCTCAGCTCTGTGCTCTCATGTCTATCTCTGCCATTTTCCCAGGGGGTTGTGGATGTGCTTGTGTGAGTAAGTGTGTACAGTGACATGTGTGTTTGCTTGTGTGAGTGTGTACACATGTGGGCGTGCACGTGTGTGTTCAGAGTATAGGACACGTGACACAGAACAGAAAATGTGGGGAGGAGGGCTGTGGGGCTGCGGTAAGACAGAGCGCCCCTTGTGGATGTGCTTGTGTGAGTAAGTGTGTACAGTGACGTGTGTTTGCTTGAGTGAGTGTGTACACATATGTGGGCGTGCACGTGTGTGTTCAGAGTATGAGGACACGTGACACAGAACAGAAAATGTGGGAGGGAGGGCTGGGGGGCTGCGGTAAGACAGAGAGCCCGTCTAACTTACTTGGACTCAGGATGGCATGTGGAGAGCTAGCACAGCCGAGCTGAGTGGTAAGACAGAGAGCCCGTCTAACTTACTTGGACTCAGGATGGCATGTGGAGAGCTAGCACAGCCCTGAGAGCTGAGTGGACTGACCTCATCCTCCATCCCCAGGAACTATTGCCAGGGTCAGTGGCAGGCCACCGCCCCTTTTGTTGAACAATATGCCATTGTATATATACACCGTATTTCAATATGCCAGTGTGTATATATTGTATATATATATACACACTCTCAACCTTGATGAACATCTAGGTTGAGAGTTTTTATCATAAATGGTTGTTGAATTTTGTTAACCAATGTCACCTCAAAAAGTCAATTAAAAAATTGCATCTGGCAATGAAAAGGTCATCTTTGACGGCTCCAGGATTTCCAGTAAATGATAGGGGCGTGACCTTGACCGCAGTGGCTCAATGGGGAGTGGGCGTTGAGGAAGTGGAGGCGGGGAAAGAGCAGGTGAAGGGAAGAAGAGATCTCAGGCAGCTGCGGTGGTGAGTAGGTGTCCTTCCCTTCGAGGAGACAGCATGCTCTTCAGCAAAGGGAGTCATCTCTCCTGAAGTCCTCTGTAAATCTCACCTGCTGGTCGTGTGGGTGTTTGGACAATAGAAGTTCCTTTTCCATCTGTGCATATATGTATTATGTACTGCCCGCCTTGTTCCAGAAAAGACTCCGTTGGCCCGGTTCTGGTCTGCCATGGACCACCTAGACCAGTGATGGCGAACCTTTTGAGCTCGGCGTGTCAGCATTTTGAAAAACCCTAACTTAACTCTGGTGCCATGTCACGTATAGAAATTTTTTTATCTTTGCAACCATAGTAAAACAAAGACTTATATTTTTGATATTTGTTTTATATATTTAAATGCCATTTAACAAAGAAAAATCAACCAAAGTATGAGTTCGCGTGTCACCTCTGACACGCGTGTCGTAGGTTCGCCATCACTGACCTAGACTCAGCCTCCCTTACACGACTGTAGAAGACGACACAGGTCTGTACAGGTGTTTGGACAATAGAAGTTCCTTTTCCATCTGTGCATGTATGTATTATGTACTTCCCGCCTTGTTCCAGAAAGGCCTCTGTTGGCTCAGGTTCCAGTCTGCCATGGACCACCTAGACTCAGCCTCCCTTACACGACTGTAGAGGACGACACAGGTCTGTACGTAAACTGCCGGTTTCCAAAGCTGACGTAGGCTATCGGAGCACAGAAGCAAGGGGGATCGGAACGGAACACGCAGACACCATCTTTCCCTCCTGGGGGAGCATAACTCGGCAGGTGCAGTCGCTGACGTAGGCTATCGGAGCACAGAAGCAAGGGGGATTGGAACGGGAACACTCAGACACCATCTTTCCCTCCTGGGGGAGCATAACTCAGCAGGTGCAGTTCTTAGGGCTCAGCTGCTCCTACAGATGGCCTGTTAGCCAGCTCAAGTCCTGCCCCAGCCTCAGGTCGCTGACAAGCCTCACATGTGCGGGTTAATGCTATGTCCTGGCTGTGTGGGCCTCTCCCCTCCTGCTGCGCCAGTCCCTGGTGAGGGTCCCTGACAAGCTGAGAGACCCCATCCCCCAGGTATGCCTCACTGTGCGTCTTTTTTTAAATTTAAAAAGTTAGTTACTTTTATTCCACCCATTTCTCCTACTCTCCCACCCCCTTCCTCTGGCAACTACCAGACTGTGGAGACCACCACTATGTCTGGCTGCAGGACTTTTCGACCTTGATGTCCCATGACTCCTATTTTAACCTCAGTTGTCCTGGACAATGTTTAGGGGTCTGAAGAGAATGCTGTGTCACCTCAGCAGGCCCCAGGCCTCTTGAACAAACTCTACCTTTTAGAGCTTTTTTACCCAGGGGACGTCCAGATTTATAGCCAAGAAGCCCCCTTCCTTCAAAGGTCTGCTGAGACTTTAGCTTTGATTTAAAAGTATATATATATTTTTATTGATTTCAGAGAAGAAGGGAGAGGGAGAGATAGAAACATCAATGATGAGAGAGAACCATTGATCGGCTGCCTCCTCCACGCCCCCTACTGAGGATTGAGCCTGTAACCCAGGCATGTGCCCTTAACCAGAATGGAACCTGGGACCCTTCAGTCCACAGGCCGACGCTCTATCCACTGAGCCAAACCAGATGGGGCTAGCTTTGCTTTTAAAATGCCTTCTCAGGGCCTTCATTTCCTCGTTATCAAAATTAGAGATATCATATAAACACTCTCTAGGTCTAGGATTCTGTATTAATCAGGTTGGAGTACCTTAACAAAATACCGCAGACTGGGTGGCTTAAACAACAGAAGTCTATTTTCTCACAGTTCTAGAGGCTAGAAGTCTGAAATAAGGTCCAGCATGGTCAGCTCCGGGTGAGGACTCTCTTTCTGGCTTGTAGGTGGCCGCCTTCTCCCTGCGTCTTCACATGGCTGAGTGCTGGTGCCTCTCCTTCTCATAAGGGCACAAGCCCTATTGACCTCACTTAACCTTTGTCACCTCACATGCCTCATCTTCAAATACAGTCACATTGGGGGTTAGGGCTTTAACATAAGAATTTTAGGGGGACATAAGCATTCAGTCCATAACAGATGCTATGGTTGTTCTGAGGAAGAAATGGAGAGGTAGTATTTTTATATTTCCAACAGGGTGGGGTA